GTGTGATGTAAATTAAATGCTGAATGACGGTTCATGCAGGGAAAGAACATATCAATATTCGCATATTCATTCAAAAACATGAAAATTCTTAATGGAGTACCCTCATTTCTTATTGAATTCCTCAAAAACAATATTTATAATGAATTTTAATAATTTTTTCTGATTTATTTAAACTTTATTCTGACCGATTCACCCGATTCTCGATCCGGATCGCCGATTTGCAGATCCGGATCAGTTTTTTGGATGCCCGATCCGGGTCACCGATCCATTTTTTAAACCATTGGCTATAGGGAAAAAAATTACAGTCAGAGATTGATTCAAAGGTACCCTCTAGACGGGCCTTTTGGTAAAAAAATAGGTCAAATAGACCCTGAATTATTAATATTTTTTTTTTTTTATAGTATTCCAACTCTAGAGCATGTCTATTTTGAGGCATTTTAAATTAAATAGAGTAAAGTGTTAAATTGTTAATTTGATAAATTTCTCTTAAAAATATCCAAACTATTCTCGATTTTCTATCAAAATACTGCATATAGTTATTTAAGTAAAGTTATCCATGGCTAAGTGAGAATCAAATTACTAAAATGCCTCGAGTTGTTCAAAATCCTAAAGCGTAAACAAAAGTATTAATAAGTATTTTTTGAGAAAATGAATCAATGGGGTAGATCGTCCATCCACCAATTCCGTGCTCGAGCACCAGTTATTGATCCAAACATGTTTGAATTAGTGATTAAAAAAATGTTAAAATAAAGAAAAAAATTAAAAAAAATTGCTTATACCCTTCAACCAATCCACTTAATCACATTTATTGAATCCCCTTCATCTATGAGCTCTAATCCGTTGAGTTGCAAAGTATGGTGGAAGTGGACCCAAATGTGATGAAATAATAAAAAGGGCAAGTGAAGCTACAACTAACTAACAATAGGGTGACAATGGACCTGGATCTGACCTAGGACCCATTCGGGTCTGAGTATGGTCAAAAAATTGGACTCAGCAAGTCGGATCCCCAAACACTATTCGGGTCCAGGTTCGGTCAAGTCCGGATCCGAGCTTGAGTCCGATAATATTTTTCAGGTCTCAATATATGAAATATACTTAAATGTAGTTAAATACGTAGATATTTTAATTTTTGGATTCGATCAGCTCTTGTGGGGTTTGAGTTTGAGTTTGGTTCTGGGTTCGGGTGTGGTTCTAAGGAATTTAGGTCCGATTGGGTCTGGGTCTGAATCCAAATGCAATCGGACCCGGACCCAGACCCGAACCGACCCGTTGCCACCCCGTAACAAGTGCAGGCACAAAGGGTATGCCTTCAAAATCTTTGAATACTTCCCATTTCCTACCACTACTGGGTTTCCTTTTAAGTTGTTGCATTGTAACTTAATCTTATAAGGTGGGGGTTGGATCCAGTTTGCTCTTTTGGGGTCCTGCCTCAAGTTGAGAGTTATACCACAACATTCTATGGTAATTGAGGCCTACTCTACATATATCTAAGTCAGGTCTTATAAAGGGGGACAAAGGAGAAAATGTTCATGTCAGAGCGATAAATCTTTTCAATACTAAAATACTTTTGATTGTTAAGAATTTTTATCTGAAAAAGGAGAGTTCTGAATATGTATTAACAACATAGTTAGAGCTACTTGAGTGAAACTCTTTTTTTAAAGGGTGTGGTTTGTATAAGGTTGAGACCCGAATCAATCAAAGCAGGCACACCTTTAAATAGTTCCGAAAAGTGTTGTTTTACTAGAAAAAATCTTAGTGATGGTCTAAAAATTTATATTCATTCTAATTATAAAATTTAAGATCGAGCATATCTATAAACACTTGAGAATCTTAAAAATTGACAGTCTAAATAATACATTACAAGATGCACTACTTCTAAGACTTAAAATCTATTATTTCTCATGTCCATGCATCTTGAGGTTGAGATTATCTAATTGGGGCCTTTTTAGTATTGAAACAACCTCTTTTGGTGAATTTTGAAGTGCGCTTTAATTTTAATTATTTAGGGCTTGACCCGCATCAATAATTTGTTGATTTGACCACCTCAAATACTTTTGGAGGTGGTTTGATCCTTCTCATGATATTTTCTCTACATATTTATGGTATGTCCACCAAAATGGGGCCCGGAATATGTAAGGTCAACTAGTATTTTCACCAATTTTGGATCAAGTCTGGGTCAAATATAACCAATACATCTTTCAGACGGACTTTTGCAAAGAGACCACATTTGGATAGAACCTAGAACTTCTCTCTCTCAATTTTTATTTTTTTTGACAAATAGCAAAGTATTTATTGATAAAAGAAGTTACCCAAGAGGATTACTTCTCTCTCTCAAAATTTATAAGAGGTCAAATAAACACAAAGTTGTAGCTATAAGAATCTCATTTCACTGAAACACCTCAAAATTTTATTAAAAAATAACAAAATTACTTATATTTTGAAGTTAGAACCTTGATCATGGGCATTTTGGCAATGTTCTCCCCTTAAGTGATTAAACTAAATGATGTAAATGGCTTTGTTAGTCTTTTCCCAAACCATTTTTAAAAAAATTAAAATATCATTTCTCGTGTTTGGGATAAGAAACAAGAGGGCATTACACCATTTAACCAGGTTTTAGGGGTTCGAGCCAACTAACAAGATTGACCCGCCAGTTCAGGGTTTTATACTCATCAAAAAGAGTTTTTAATGAAAACCATATTCTAGATTGGAACTCAAGACAATCAGGGTAGTTAGATCTTAAATTACTGAAATGGCTGTGCTTTTATTCAGGTTCAACCGAGCAATTTAGGCACTTTTAACTATGTTCTTGAAGAGTCGCCTAAACAAAATTTTAAAAGTAAACACTTTACCAAATAAACCACCTCATTGATTTTTTGGGAATGAATTGACCCTTTTTTTTCTTTTTTCTTTTTTTGAGAAGATAACTAAATGATTTGACCATTTTATTGATATTCTCTCAAAATGCACCATTTATGTCCAAACACTATAAACTGCCCACCACACAAGCATGAAGTGTGCTCCATTTCAACATTACTTTTGTGTGAAACTAATGCAAAATGAGAATAATAATCATTTATGGGGGTGGTTTCTATAAGGTTGCAACTTTAAACAATCCAATTAAGGCGCACTTCTAAATTTTATCATAACATGTAATTTTGGTGTTAAAAATTCTTAGGATTATTTAAAAATATATTTTCATATCTAATTATAAAATTTTGAACTCCGAAAATGGTTAAAATCATGTAGATCTATAAACATGTGAGAATCTTGAAAATGGACGGTCTAGATAATGTGTTGCAAGATGCACTATTTTTAGGACTCAAAATCTTTTTTTTCATACATTCATACATCTCGATATCGAGATAATCAATTAAAGGGTTTTTCACTATTAAAACAACATTTTCCGATGGATTTTTGAGGTGCACATATAATTCTACATTTTAAGGTTGCAACCTTATATAAACTTTTCCCATCATTTAATTATATCACATGCATATGAAAAGGAGATTTTAAATCCAGTGGTTCTCTAATATATATATATATATATAGAGAGAGAGAGATCCACCCAAATATGCAATTTCTAGTTGGTGGGTAAAGAAAGAGATACAAGAGATGACAATTTAAAAATAATTGGGCATCTTTTTTCTCTTTTAAATAGCCAAAAGTTGAAATTTGCAAAAATATTTTGCCTTTTAGAAAAAATACATAGATGACCCAACAAAGGTACATGAACACGTTGGATTTTTTGGGTATGGATAGGAATGAAACAACAACTATTGTGATAGAACAAAAACATTTAAACATGAGTGCCAAGGCTCTTGTCCTCTTTCATTTAATTGAATAATATCTTTTGATGAGAGAGAAAGGGCTAGATAGAGAGAAGGGGGAAGAGAGGGAAAAAACAGGGTGGGCATAATACATGCAATAAATTCTAATCTTTGACTCTCACTTTTGAGCCACTCCTTGTTTCAAAATTTAAAATTTTAATTGAGAGAGTCATAAATTAATTAAAGTTGAAAGAGGAAGAAATGTCAAATACTCTTCAAGATAATGTGGAGACAAATGCATCTATGCCAAAAGTCTGTTATTCTGCAAATATCATAAAATTAAACTGGAGCATGAGATGTTCCTTGCATTGGTGAAATATTGATAAATTCACAGGCAAATTGAGATGAAGATTTGGTATATATTTGTAAATAATAAATTTAGCAGATTATATAATACAGCAAAAGTTCATATAAGGTTGCAACTTTTTATTATTGAAGTAAGGTACACCTCCAATGTTGGAGAGCCCTACAACTGATCATCTCAACCTCGAGGCATATGGATACGAAGAGAAAAAAAATTTCAAATATAAAAAACAGGAAAGTTTTATATGCTTCCCCTATAGCATAAAACTTATGTACTTCCCATTATCCAACCATTGAACGGAGGGCTAAGATTGCCCCAATCACAATGTAACATCTCTACACTATTTTTTTTAAAAAAAAATTTCTATAAATTATTTTGACATTAAATTTTGGACTTTCAATCCTTCTATTAAACTCGCACTAGCGAAAAATATATAAAAAAAATATTTTCAATAAAATAAAATCACCAAATACCCCTGAAAGTTTCAAGGGGTATTTTGATCATTATATTTTATAGAAAAATTATTTTTAATATTTTTTATAGGTGCGCCCTAATGAAAAGATGACACGTACCAAATTTCATATCTTTATAATTTGTATAAAAAAACTAAAAAAAAAATATTTTGAGATGTCGGATCTAAGATCAAACAATGAGTAGCTCTCTTGATCAAAATTGGATGGCTAGATGGTAGGAGAAGTATAAAACCCTTTTTTAAAAAAATATTGCATCTTGTAACAAGTTATCTAGACAATCTATATTTAAGATTTTCAAGTGTTTTTATAACCTTTTCTATTTTTCAAATTGTAGATTTCATAACTAGAGATAAAAATAAGTCCTCAAGCCATCTCAAGCCATCATACCGATACCATAACCACGGCTCCAAGCAAATTTTAGAACCACGCCTCACTTTTACAAAGAGCGTGCCGTACACAAACCTCGCCAATCGTTATATAAATCATTATCAATGTTTAATATAAGTCCTAATTCTTACATAAATCATTATTAATGTTTGTTTATTTAACTAATATTCGTAAGGGATGTATACTATGAAACCATCTACATTTGTTATAAACAAGTCATGATTATTCCTAGTCATCAGATGTCAAGATGGATGGCTCAGATTATCACAAGGTTTGAGAAAAAAAAATTGAATTTTGAACCTAAGAGTAATTGTGATTTTTTTTTTTTTTTTGCGTGAGTCAGTAAGGAGAGGGCCCCTACTTTTGATAGGAATTGAGCCCGAACAAAACATTGTAAATCGCCAAACGCTAACCAATTAAGCACGGGCTGTTAAAAATAGTTTTCCGAGTGTTCACAAATCCATTAGATCCATTCCATTTTTAGAGTTTCAAATCACGGGGCAGAAATATATTTCCAATTCATCATAGAGGTTTTCAGAACCAGAAATCCATTTTCTGGTGGGGTTTTGAGGTATTCTGCTACACTTTTATGGTGAAGATGTAGCATTAAAACAAATCATACACAATTTCCTAATAACAATAAAATATAAACCAAGAAAAGTGGGATAAGCATATTCTATACCAAGAACAAAATACTCATCCACTCCAACAATATCCAATAAGGAAAATTTATCAAAATACGCATCAACTGCTTAACATTTTACCCATATCTTTTGATTGAATTTCAAAATACCCATCTAAGAGTGACAACAGGTCAGGTATGGGTCGGGTTCTACTGGACCCGACCCAAAATTTCACTTGTGGACCCGAACCCGAACCCGACAGGTCCAAAAAGATCCTACCCGGACCCGTACCCGAGAGGCTTATTTGGACCCAAGACTCGGACCCGTATCCGGCAAATTGGCGATGACCCCTGCTTTGGTTTTACAAAAAAAAAAAAAGGGCATAGAGAAAAATCACAGGATCCGTTCTCTCTCTAGCCGTATTGATTAGGCAATACCTCACATATTTGCTTGTATCCATGTGTTTATTCAGAGTCTTTTTGCAATACAATCACCATTAAAGAACAAGAAAACAGCCTTCAGAAGCTCGAAAACCCTTGAGTTGCAGATTATAGCCAGGCTCTGCTCTCCAAGAGAGCCCACTTTCACCCACATCACAGGGAATAAAACTGAGAGAGCCCCACTGTAAAAGACCAACCTTTCACAGTGAAATAGCCAACAAAGAGAAGGAATAGGAAGGCACTGATGGATCTGGGGGAGCTTAGAGAGAGAGGGGGTGAAATTCGTCACCGCCATCAAAACCCCCGTCTCTCTAAAGCTCACCCAATACACTGTAATGTATTAATAAATAAAACTACGGGTAGTCACAGTTACTATTTACTTTTATACAAGGTAGTCACAGTTACTATTGACTGTTAGATGTGAAATTGGATGGGTGCATTTATTTTATTAACCAAGCTCAATATTCAAAAGAATTTTTCTCGAACTTTGTAAAACACCCAAGCTATTAGATTTCACATCGGATGGTTACAAGTAATTGTGACTTCTTCGTACCAATGGTAAATGGACTCATTATATACAAAGAAAAAAAACCATCGAGTTTCCCATAGCTTCAAGATAAAAATTTTAAGGAGAAAAGGGCAACCCAAATAATAACAAACTAAATACAAGTAAAGACAGAAAAAGGAAACGCAAGACCAGACTGCCTCCAATAGCAACTCACTGCAAAATCCGGAGTTCTCCATAGCTTCAAGATAAAAATTTTAAGGAGAAATAGGCACCCCAAATGAAAGGAAAAGCAAAACCAGACTGCCTCCAATAGGAATTCACTTCACCAAATCCAGCAAACAAGACATTACAAACATACCAATAACCATAGCACCCTAACATTCAATAGAATACAAAACTGGTAGAGAGAGATACTGGGTCCTTTTAACCCCTCAGTACCTCATTGTACATGTAAAAAACATACAATAGATACACACACATTATTTTAAATATGCATGTATATGAACTACGCCACACTTTGCAATAGACCAAATCAAAATGAACCTAAGACTTCTAAATAGTTAAGCCGAATGTGTCCACAAAAATTGCAATGACCTTATGCCTACACTAAAACAAAAAAAAAAAATTTTTTTTTTTTTTTTTTGGTTAGAACCATGATATATGCTTTTTCAGCATGATGACCCCACAGATATCTCTATCAATCTCCCAGTTGATATGAGAGGGTAATTGGGTCCTTTCAGAGATCAAAGACTGACCTCCATTGTTGCCTTTTTCCCCTCATAAATTAGAGCAGCCGCCATAGCACGTTTTCTTCTCTCTCTACAGTGAAGCCTAGCACTGAACTCCATTGATGGATTTTTTGTTTCTTCCCTTAGAGTGAAGCTTCGACATGATGGTGCTCAAGGTTTCGTAGCACGATCCTTGCAAATACCTTGGCTTCAATGGGAGCACTGGCCGCTGCTGCTGCTGCTGCTGCTCGGAGGACGCGCGCTGCCCCTGCCTTCTGCAACAGGCTCGCATGGTGTAGTGCATGCCGCCCACCAGGAATGGTAAACTGAGAGAGAGAGAGAGCTTAAGTCAACATCCAAAATGTAAAAGAACGACATATCTGGCAAAGAAAAAGAAGGAAATTCAGTAGGAAAAAGATATCAGATGTGAGGCTTTTCATGGGGTATTTTTATCCACAGCTCCTATGACCAAAGAACTACTACCTTCTTCGATTCCTATTTCAGTTAGCTACAAGGGATGCAGACTACATCAGACACATTAATAACATTATTTCAAATAATTTATCGATCAAATATCTTGCACACATTATATGATTGATGTGGTTAGGTTATGTTCATCTACATATAATTAGGAAAATCTGGAACAGATAGTAGCCTTATCACCATCTAAATAAGCATTTGTTGGGATTAAAATAATTTGACATGCACATAAGCACACACGCACGCTACAGGCAGGCACAATGCACGATCCTTAGCTTAGAAAACAGATGATTTTTAAAATATTTCATTTATATGACTTTTTTATATATTTTCTTTAATCGCTAAGTCAATAATCAAATGTAGTATTTATTTAATTCATCTATTTCTTAAATTCCAACTATTTTTCAGTTCCTTTCTAACATAGTTTGATAGGATCGTGCTACAAAAACCTTGACAACCACCATGTGGAAGCTAGAAAATAAGTATTTGCTAGGATTGTGCAAAAAATCTAGAGCACCACAATGTCTAGAATTCCTCCACACACGAACACATGTGCATGCACGCATGCATGATATATGCATATATATATAT